TATGCTTCAAAAATAGCCATTGGAGGAAGGAAATGTCATGGCTAAAAAAAAAAAATTCAACTACTGAAAGTTATTTAAAATAGATAATTGTTATTGATAGGTGCATTTATCATAAACGGCAAAGTTGTTTTTAAGGTTAAAGTGGAAAATTTAAGCACCTGTTAAGAGTTGAGTTGGAGCCGAATAGTGCATAGAAAAGAAAAAGAAAAAGAGAACTTAAAGTTGAAGCTTTGTGCTATTAATATTATAATTATTTTGGAACTTTAGAAGATCAGAAACTTGGCAGGATAAAGAAATATCGCTAATTCAATTTATTTATATGAAAAAGGATTTTTAATTTTGTTCTTGTGCGATGAACCTAAAAGTGAAAAAACACAAATTGATTGATGAATGGTTACATTTCTTCATATGGAATTTCGACCGAGAAACGCTGGAGTTATTTCTGTTAAACTGTTTTAACCACCACCCTGTTGTCTCTTGATTATAGTTATTTCTGTTTTAGTAGTTTTATTTTATTTTAGTACTTATAAAAACTCCAATGATTGTTATCTCACCTTCTTCTAAACAGGAAGGATCACATACATAACGCAGCGAGCAACTGTTTGCCATCAGGTTGAACCTACTGTTCCTGAGGAACGTTGTCAAGACAGTAGGGAACGTTTGACCAGACAATTCATTTACTAACTTTTCTTCTTATTTTCACTCTTTATAAACAGTGATAAAACAATAATTAGTACTCTATCCTCGTGGGAACGATAATTTGGGCATTAATACCTCCCTTTATTACTTGATGCGTGCACTTGCGCACTTGGGTTGGAACTAAGGGACGAATCTGTGTTCTGCAAGAACAGAGGAACGTCCCCTATCAGAACTTATATTTTCCACCATCAGCAAACCACCCAACAAGTTTTTGGCGCCGTTGCCGGGGACAGAAACACTAACTGTTGTTCTTATCATTGTTTTCTAACACATATACTGTATATCTGACTTTACTTTTTTTTTTTTCTCTTTATCACTGAATCTGTTGTGCATATCTATATACCATGTGTTATTGGTTTATGAGTGAAGAGTTTGAAACAGACTCTAACCACTCCATTGAAGTACCTGAGTTTCTCTTTGATCCTGAACCAGAACGTACACTCCATAGGAGAAGAAGGAACCTCAGAGAAAGATTTCCTGAAAACATGGTTGATCACAATAATAACAATGAAGAGGTTCCCCCTGAACAGAACTTCAGAATTTTGGCTGCTCCTTTCAGGAACAGACCAGACAGGGGAGTAATCCTCCCTCCTGTAGCACCCAATTTTGAACTAAAACCTATCATGTTTCACATGATTAGAGAAGCAGGGGTCTTCAATGGACTCCCTGCAGAAGATCCTTACACACACCTCACCACATTCCAAGATATCTGTTACAATTTTAAAGCTGAGGGTGTAACATAAGAGAGCATGAGAATGAGGTTGTTCCCTCACTCCTTAGGCTTAAAAGCTAAAACATGGATGAAAACTCTCACCCCTGGATCAATCCACACATGGGAAGAACTCTCTAACAAGTTCATATAGAGGTTTCTCCCAATGTCTCGACAAGCAGATGTTAGAGCAGAAATCTCTAACTTCAGAATGATTTATGGAGAAAATCTCTATGAAGCATGGGAGAGATACAAGGACATCATAAGAAAATGTCCAAAACCATGGGGTTGAGAGTTGGGAAGTGTTACAATCTTTCTATAAAGGACTTGATCATACTTCTCAGTCTCACTTAGATTTTGTTGCAGGAGGATATTTTTTTACAGGAACACTTGAATCAAGATATGAAATCATAGAAGGGACTACTGAAAGATGTCTCCAATGGCCAATAGACAGAGTGAGCCCAGTGAGGAAGCCAGACATGCTAGAACTAGATAAACAAACTGCCATGGAAGCCCAGCTGGCATCACTCATGAATGAAGTGAAGAACCTAAAAGCCGACTAAGAAGCACCAAGGATGGAGGTCTTACAACTCACAGCAACTGAAAGAGAACCATGCTCAACCTGTGGTGACCTTCATGACTCAATAGACTGCCCATCCACTGCATTAGTGTGTTATGCAGAAAATTTTGGCAATAGGAACTTCACCAGAGACAATCAACAAGCAGGACGAAATACACATTCAAGCCCTGGAGGAACTATCATTAAGGATCAGAACCACAACACCCAATGGAGGCCACCCATTAACCAGAGATCATTCAACAATAATCAGCAGCAGTATCAGCAAGGTAGCAGCAGTGGAACGTCTGAACAAAGAAGGACCATTTCCCACTCCCTTTTACAGATCAGATTCTGGACCACCTAGCAGGAAAAGAATACTTCTGCTTCCTTGATGGATATTCAGGGTATAATCAAATTGCTTTGGCACCAGAAGATCAACATAAAACCACCTTCACCTGCCCATATGGAACGTTCGCTTTCAGAAGGATGCCCTTCGGGTTATGTAATGCACCAGCAACGTTCCAGAGGTGTATGTTCTCAATCTTTTCCGATCTAATAGGTGAAGGAGTAGAAGTCTTTATGGATGATTTTTCAGTACTGGGGACGTCATATGATCATTGCTTGAACAATTTAGAAGAAGTCTTTCAAAGGTGTCTGTCCTCTAATCTAGTGCTTAATTGGGAAAAATGCCACTTCATGGTGAAAGAAAGAATAGTCCTGGGACACAAAATTTCTAGAGAAGGACTGGAAGTGGATCAAGCCAAAGTAGAAGCTATAGCAAAAATGCCACCACCAGTAAGTATAAAAACCTTGAGATCTTTTTTAGGGCATGCAGGCTTTTACAGAAGGTTTGTTAAAGACTTTTCCAAAATAGCTAGACCTTTATGCCACTTATTAGAAAAAGATATAAAATTTGAGTTTAACTCTGACTGTGTGAAAGCTTTTGAATCTTTGAAAAATAAGCTCATTACCACGCCTGTCATTGGATAAGCCAATCTAACTCCTTATTTGACCTTGACCTCTATTTATTATATACCTAGCATTTCTTTCAATTTAATCTCTGTTAGCCAGTTAATTCATTCTCTTTCATGCACTGTTACCTTTTTTGACCATTCTGTCTTTATGCAGGATCCAGGTACGGGGAAGACGATTGGAGTGGGTTGTTAGTCACGAGGTCTCTACTATCTAACCTCACCTCATTCTCGAGTGGCATGCTCTCTCATAGATTCTCCTCAACTAATCCACAGTCGTCTGGGTCATCCAAGTCTCTCCAAGCTTCATCATATGGTTACTTTTTTATTCAGTTACCAGTCTTTAAATTACCAGTCTTGTTAGCAAGGAAAGCACACTTGTTCTTCCTTTGCTAATTGAGTCAATAAAAGAGCTGATACTCCCTTTTCTATTGTTCATTCTGATATTTGAGGTCCGAGTCGAGCTATGTCCATTTTGGATTTTCAGTATTTTGTAATTTTTATTGATGATTTTTCTCATTGTACTTGGGTTTATTTAATGAAAATCCGTTCTAAATTATTTTCTATCTATCAAATTTTTTGTGCTGAGATTAATACTCAATTTGGTGCTTCAACTCGAGTCTTATGCAGTTATAATGAGAAAGAGTATGTCTCATGAATTTCTGCTTTCTTGGAGCAACATGGGATGTTACACCAAATCACCTGTCCTCACACTCCACAACAAAATATAGTGGCCGAACGTAAAAATAGACACTTGGTTGAAACTACACGTATCCTTCTAATTCATATGAATATTCCACTCCGTTTTTGGGTAGATGCTATTATCACTTCTTATTTTCTTATCAAGCGATGCCCTCTTCCGTGCTTAAAAATGAAGTCCCACACAATGTCTTATTTCCAGGAGCGCCTTCCTATCTACTGCCTCCGTATGTATTTGGGTGTACCTTCTTAATTCATGATCTCCCTCCAGGAAAAGATAAATTAACACCCAAGGCCTTCAAGTGTATATTCTTTGGTTATACTCGCTTTCAAAAGGGGTATCGCTGTTAGTCTCCAAACCTCAAGCGATACATTGTGTCTGCTGATGTCACCTTCATGGATCAACAGCCATTCTCTAGTTCCTAAACTTCTATGTCACAAATTGATCATATTATTCCAATTTCCTTTGTTGATTTGTCTTTACCAGTTGCAGGTGTCAGCCCTACTCCGATTGACTCACCGTATTCAATAATTGTCTCTTCCCATCCGGAGCCTCCATCAGAGATTACTCCAATTTCCCATCGCAAAGATATTTGATCCACTCGCAACCTTCATCCCCTTTATATTTTCTTGAGTTATGACCAAATTTCTTCACAATATTTTTCCTTTATTTCTAGTCTTTCTTTTTTTTTCTATTCTTAAGACCACAAGTGAAGCACTATCTCATGTAGGTTGGCGCCAAGTGGTGATTGATGAAATGACAGCACTTTAATCCAATGGCGCATGAGATCTTGTTCGCACTCTTCCCGGGAAGTCTGTTGTCAGTTGTAGATGGGTATTCATAGTCAAAGTTGGTTCTGATGGCACTGTTGACCGCCTCAAAGCCCGCCTAGTGGTCAAGGGATACACTCAGTTTTTTGGCCTTGACTATGGAGAGACTTTTTCTCTCGTTGCCAAGATGGCTTATATTCATTTGTTTCTTGCACTTGCTTCCATTAATCACTAGCTTATTCTTCAACTTGATATATAAAAACGCCTTCTTACATAGTGATTTGCAGGAAGAAGTATACATGGAGCAATTAACAGGTTTTGTTTCTCAAGGGGGTGTTCTGGAATAGTATGTAAGCTTCGTAAATCTTTACATGGCCTAAAGCAGTCTCCTCGAGCCTGGTCCAGTCACTTCGTTTCTGCTGTTCAAGCCTCCAGTTTAGCCCGAAGTGATGTCGATCATTCTGTTTTCTATCGATATAGCTTGTCTAGTCAGTGCATCTACCTCCTGGTCTATGTTGATGACATCATTATTATTAGCAATGATCAAGCTAGAATTTATAAGTTAAAGAAGTACTTATTTAATCAATTTCAGACCAAAGATCTTGGCAGACTTCATTATTTCTTAGGGATCGAAGTGGCACAATCCAAGCAGGGTATTTCCATTTGTCAAAGAAAGTATGCTGCAGATATCCTAGAGAAGACTGGTATTTCAGGATGTAAGCCCATTGATATACCTATGGATCCTAATGTCAAACTGTTACCAGGACATGAGGAGCCATTGTCAGATCCTAGTTGTTATCGCAAATTAGTTGGAAAATTAAACTATCTTACCGTAACAAGGCCGAACATTTCTTATGCAATTAGTGTGGCAAGTTAGTTCCTTGACTCTTCTTGTGACTCTCATTAGGATGCAGTTGTCAGGATTCTTCGATACATCAAAAGAGCACCAGGAATGGGTTTGTTATACACAAATAAAGGAAATACGAATGTGTGTAGCTATTCAGATGCTGATTGGGCAAGTTCTCCTTCAGATAGACGCTCCACTTCGGGGTATTGTGTTCTCCTTGGAGAAAATTTGATCTCTTGAAAAAGTAAAAGGAAAACTGTGGTAGCCAAGTCAAAATGAATTCACACATGATTAATTGAATGTTTATACATGAATTCAATGTGTATTTAATTGATTGGTGTCATTGGATTAAAGTTTGAATGCATAAAAGTCGTGAAAATCTATTATATGTGATTCAACCATTTCAAGTTAATTGGGTATCCATGTTGTATAATTTATTTTGAATGATGTTATATGTACTTGATGGATAATAAAGTGTAAGTGGATGGTTGGTTTAAGTTTTTGAACTTGTGAAAGTAATTTGACACTTAAAGGACATAAATTAATGATTTGAAAGCTTAAGTTCAAGTATATGTTTTGATGCATGAATGAATGTTAAAGTGGTGTAAAGAATGATGAATGAGAAGCATGAAAATGTGTGTGGATGTGTTGTGTGAGATTTGACCATGTTTGTTTAACTTGGTTGGAATTGAAGTTAATTGATAACTAAACTATAGAAACTTAAATAAAGAGTGTGTAAGTAAGTTTGAATGATTAAGTCTCTAATTGTTAATGTGAGAATGTAGGTTTAACCTAAAATTAAGTGTAAGGTCTAGGTTTGACTTGTGGCATGGTCATGAATTATTAAGAGTGAATTTGTAAAGAGTGTAATGTGGATTGGACAAGATATGAATCTTGTGTTACAAGTTGTTGTGTGTATGTCAAATCTGATATATATCTGGGTACAGGTGTGAATCGGGAGATACAGTGATTCCTGATCAGTGTTCGGAGAATTTGACTTGATTACTTGTTGTCCAAGTAAGCTTGCTAGGAGCTACTAGAGGTAAGCTTTTAGTTTAGGAGGATTCTTCCTCTTTGTTTGTTCTACCGGGATTTTATTATCTTGGAGGTATATCTGTATGTTTGTGTTTTGTGGTAGTCAGATATATAGTATAGCTGTATTCATATAGATTATAACATGATTTGATGTGATATGATTTGTGGTATATGGGTTCTTGTACAATGAACATTTTCAGATAGACCATTAGTGCACCTGGACTGGTTGGCTCTGGTTGCTGTTGAGATTTAATTCCGGGAGTTATTTGTGCAGACGAGTAGTCTGATACTATTCTGTGATTATATGATCTATGTTATACTATGTATATGACCTTTCATGCAGGAAAATGAACTCATTGGTGGAGACTTCTCCATAAACCCTGAGTTTATGAGATTTATTTCTCACCCCGTGTTGTGAGGATATATTTCAGGTATTCCAACAGATGTTGATCAGTCATCTCAGGGCAAGAGGCCTGTGCAGAGTGACTAATGTTGGAGCTGGATTTTGTATTTTGATCTGTGTGTATATGTATATACTTTTTGAGGCATGTGTAGTATCCATGCTTATTGTCAGCTGTTATCTTTTGAGAGGCAGGTCTAGCCTTTTTTTTTTTAATTATCTGTAATGAAGTTATGGATTTCTGTATGTATTTGTGTATTGGCTTAAATCCATAGTTCAGTACGAGGTATTTCAGTATGTTTTGTATCTGTTGCAGTTTAAGATTCGCGGGTTTAATTGTGTTCAATACTGACACTGAGTCAGATTTTGTGTGAATTCATGGATGAATTCTAAGTGTGATAATGTTTATTTATGTTTTGTGTAGATTTTCTATATTACAAGAATTTGGATTTATCTGAATTACAACCGTTATGCTGTCCATAGGTTTTCTGTTCAGAATGGTCTCTATGATCATATTTGAATGGAATATATCTGTCTAGTACAGATATAAATAGAATTGTCATAGGTAGACCGTTCAAGAAATTTGTACAAGTATGAGACTGTGCAGATTATAACATTTGGAATTAAGTTTTGTTCGTGGCAATGCGGGAAAAAATAGGTTATGTGTTAAATTGTTAATGTAAGGTAAATCAGATAAAAGAAAAAGTTTATTCGTATTTCTGCCATAACTTAAGTAAATACGCATGTTAAGCCTTCCGCTTAATTCATAATTTGTAGAGCGCTAGTGTACCATATGGAAGTTAATTCACCGGCTGCAGACGGGGTGTTACACCCTACAAAGTGCAAACACCACAAACAAAATGTCAACAAAGAAAGAAAACACCAGAAAAAGTCAAGAGAACGCCATTGCCACCACACCACGATTCACTAACACGAGATCTCACGTTAAACACAATATTGCCCTCTGCTAAGCATGTCATATTCACAGTGGAGGAACCGGGAATTTTATATGGGGTGGATAAAATAAAAAGTATTATATAATAAATAAAAATACTTACAATACAATAAAGACCGAGTAGGATTTAACAGCAATTCGAACAAAGTTAACTAAAACGTATTGCAAAATGTATCATATTTTTTCCAAGTGATTTCATTTTTTTAGATGATACAAAATGGTTTTATTTTTAATTTTTTGTCTTATTTGACACAATTAATTTTTTTAATTAAATTTAAAAAATATCATATATAAAGACTAAAAACATTATACTTTCGGTCGACTAAATTAGAATTGAACATGATTATCGGACCCTAGTTTTGTTAAATCAATTCGAATTTACGATTTAAAATTTAACAAAATTAGAGTGTAACCTATTACCTAAGTAGCAATCTAAAAATCAAGGTAATTTAAATTAGAAATAGGGAATGTTAAAAGGTTTCTCACACTACTTCATTTATTTCATGAGCACCAAAGTGACCAAGCACGCTTCCTCCTCACCTAGAGTTTGCAATACATAGGGATGTGCATGGGTTGAACTGACCCGAATTTTTTGAAAAATCGAACCGAATTGGTTTAAATGATTCGGTTCGAAAGTGGTTCGGTTCGGGTCGACCCTATTTTGAAAAGAAAAGAAAATTAAAATTTAAAAAATAAAGTTATAAAAATCAATTTGGTTCGGTTTGAAAACGGTTCGGTTCGTTTCAAAGTGGTTCGGTTCTAAAACTGGTTCTAAAAACTGTTTCGGTTCATGAACTGGTTCTTTAAAAACTGGTTCAGTTCATGAACCGGTTTGTAAAATCCGATTATTTTAAGGGCGGTTCGGTTCATGATTCGGTTCAGTATTTTGGTTATTTTGTACATCCATAGCAATACATGTGTCTAAATCCCTCCACTTCATTGAATGCGTGATCGCTATGTGTCCACCAATTTCCTCCCTTTCTCTTTTGTGCATGATCAACATCTACACATCACAAAGGACATTTTGCATTCCCTTATAGCCTTATCCCTTTCACGGTTAGGACCCTTTACCACATCTAATTCATACAATGAGAAAATTCATTCTCTTCTTACTCCCAAACCGTAGACTCACATCTTCACTTAGTATTTTCTTTGGACCATGGAGTTACATCAAGTTAATCACCATCACCATTCCCCCTTCTTCCTCAAAACCAAAGTTCGCATTGCTTTCCTGCTCTGCATGTTAGTATGTATTAAAGCAAGTGAAAAAATTTCTCCTCTATGGCAGTCATTGAAGCGTGAATGAAGCATTTTCCCATAAGTGTTTTCTTATTAATGACTTATTTTTAACCAACTAAGCATTCGATCAAGAGTCAACTTAGCATTTTTTTTTTGAAAAGTTTTGTGCCCGCACTTGCGGACACTTGTCCCAAAGTAGGTCCGCCACTGCTCTTAGAGGTCCCTGAATAGATTTTATATGTAACAAGCTGAGAGTTTATGATATATACGCACTCGCTTGAAGGGGCACTACAAAAATTCAGGCATTTTGTGGAGGTCATATTTTTATATCGTGGAGGTCTTTGACCCCCACAAAGACATTTGTGGCATTCTCTCAAACCTGCCTTCGCCACAACATAGTTTGTGGGGAGTTTTTGTGCAGTGCCACAATTTGTTGAAGTATTTTCTGGAGGTTCGAGACCCCCACAGATATTGCACTTTCTGGAGGTTTAAGACCCCACAAATGTTGTATTATTTATGGGATTTAGTAACCTCCACAAAATTCATCAATTTCTAGAGGGCATAGACTGCTACAATTTATTTATTATTTTGACAGATTTAAACCTCCACTAAATACTAGTTATCCAAATTTAAAAAGTGTGTATAGCATAATTTTGGAATTGGGCCCCATCACTTGATTTGTTAGCCAATTTATTATTTATTTGTTTGATCTCTTAACATTTCCTTGAAAACAATTGTTAAATACTAGTTATCCAAAAGCAACACTATAGCACACCAATCATAGTTTAGATTTATGCTTGCACTTGGTTAATACTTTTTTAAATAATATAACATAGTGGAGCCATGTGAAGAAAAAAAATCAGTAGATATAACTTCCCTGTATATGTAGAAAAAAAAACAACATAAGGTAATAATAGAACGAGAAGCAGAAGCATAAACAAAAACTGACTTAATCCCCGCCAGATGAAGCAAGACTACAAAAACGTAATGGTAGCATTCGAATATTTGAAGTAATATTACTAAAATACTTAACAAAACCCTTCCAAAGTTTTATTCTCCATCAAACTATCCAAAAATAATGTGACAATTTTAAATAAGCAACAAAATTTATGCATAGGATTTGAAAACAAAATGAATATTGTAAATTGCTCTCAGCTTTGAGTATGCTCTCTCAGCCTTCGAACAGTGCTTCGGATAGTCACAGCACTGGCAGTACTGTCAAGAAAAATATGTATGAACAAATCATTTCCTCAATCACCATTAAAAAAAGGAAAAAATTAAATAAAAAAATATACTAGAGAAAAATTCTTACTTCAATGTATGTGTAAGCACCTCCAGCTTTCACTTTTCCACAATCTTTGCAACCCCAAATACCCATAACCTTCCTCTTAACAGCATACTCTAACACCCATATACTTGATTCTGATTTTTATAGTAAACACAATATATAATTTTAAAATAAAGCAACTAATCAACTAATAACAAGCTATACATAGGCAATCTAAAAAATCCAACAGTATCATCATATTTTATTTAGTTAACACATACTCGCCGGTAAGTTCTCTTGTTGCAAGCGATGTACCCTGAGCTGTACATAGTCACATCTTCTATCTTTTCCGATCTCTCACATTTCAATTCCATATCCCAAATTTTATAATTTTCTCTGATCATTTTTTCTGCTTATTTCGCTCTTCAAGCTTCAAGACTCAAACTGAAGACGACAATGGCGCGGCTCTAACGGCTCTACCTGATGGAGCACGCGCGGTGGTGATGGGTGTCAAGAGGTGGCTTAATTGTTGGTTTGTCTCATGCTTTCTCTCTCACATCATTGCATTTTTATCTCTTTTTAGGGTTTTGTTTGGGTTCTATTTCTCGATATTGATCCTCCTAGGTTTTATTCATACGAATCTGGATTTTTAAAGTACAAAAATATGGATATTTTATTTCTAGATTTTTTCTTTTGCTCCCACTTTTTTTGGTTGAATATTAATTTTTACGATTCTGATTTCATTCGCTAGATTTTTATTTCAGCATCTTGATTTAACTAATTCGTTGTGTTTCCTTGTGCTATTGAATTCTTAACTTGCTTGATTCACGGAAAATTTGAGAATTTGAAAGGCGGGAATGAAGTATGCCACGATGGCAAATGGGTACTGGCTCATGTCGTCCACTGCGCTATTGTTGCAGACGACGGCGGGAACAATTATTTACTACTCATCTCTGAATTTATTTACTACCAATTTGTTCTGGTATCTCTGAGATGACTAACTTTAAAATACTGTATTACTCCCTAAATTATTGTTCAATTGTTTCTGCATTTATTTTTGGTGGGTTTTAAGGGATTTTGCTTAGTTTGTAATCACCTTCAGAATGCAGTCTGTTATTTGCCATGCCTCTGTCAATAATTGTTTATAGCCCTTGAAAACATTGGAATGAGAAATACAAGTTACTTGGATCCTGAAGTTTGGTTGAAGCTTTTACGGGGTCTATGGAGTTCTTAACTGCATGATATTACAACAATTTTATTACTTCACTTTGATGCATGAGTTGATTTTCAGGCTTCAGGATAGAACTCTTAAGAGCATTGACTGTGCTAGGAAATGCTCCCTCTAATGGAATGTTTATAGATTCTTGGTATGCCCACTGGCAAACTGAAATGCAGGAAACATGGTTCAGAAGTGACTATCCTCTGCTGGTTTTAATTGCAAGACATAGTTTTTCAATACAATACCATGCAATTCTAATTTTAAAATTTTTATTTTTTAACAGAAATGGAGTATCGAATTAGCCATTGGCCGGATTATGTACTGTCAAATATCTTATCTATGTCACCAATGAAAGATTTGTTAAAAACCAATATTCGTTGAGTATTGCATCAATAACGCAGGAAGCTTGACAATAGGAGTGAGGAAGAGAAGCCAGGGTACGAATGGTTACCTTATCAGCACTACCATAGGTAACTTACACTTGTTTTTCTCCATATAGGTAATTGAAATCTTCTTTTCTTTATAAATTTTCCTATTGCATGATTAGTCTTTTTGTTTTCTAGCTTTATAAATTTTCCTATGACATGATGCTATTCATTAAGAGTTTAGTAATAGTTTTGTGATGACATGATGCTTTATCCTTTTAGTTCTTCTATCAGCAATAAGATTTGGATTGTTGATGATTTTCTGAAGTGGGTTTTGTAAACTTTATGCCCAAAATTACCTTTTGTTCTGTGGTACTGCCAAGAGGGAAAAGAAATGGCCCCAAGGTCAGGGAAAAGGAAATCAAATAAAGCTAAGGCAGAGAAGAAGAAAAAGGAAGAGAAAGGTCACTTTTTTTTTTCCTTGCAGATAAAGAATATCAAATATTCATGTACTTGTCTTCCCTTTTTTGCACTAAAAAATATGACTGAAATGCCTTTTCTCCTACGTTTATTTCTTATGTGTTTTTAGCATCAGCGCCGACTCTTGTAGACATCACTGTGTTCACTCCGTATGATTCACTGATTGTCTTGAAGGTACATACAATCAGTGACTGTTGGAATCACTGATTGTCTTGAAGGTACATACATATTTGTATTTCACATTCCTAAAATGTGGTTTCAGATCACTAACTATGTTTCTGTTGGAATTTCCCTGAAGGGTACCTCTACTGATAAGATACTTGATGTAAGAAGGTTATTGGCTGTGAAGGCAGAGACATGCCATTTTACAAATTATTCTTTGTCTCATGAGGTTTGCATTTTTTGATTAATTATTTGATATCAATTTATTTCATATATGCCAACCTATGCAGCTTTTCTTTATTTTACGCTTACAGCTACCCAAACTGATTTCAATGTTTTTCTTCCTTTAGGCCAAAGGTCAGAGATTAAATGACAGAGTGGAAGTTGTTACCCTAAAGCCATGTCTTCTAAGAATGGTTGAAGGTAGGTGAATCCTGCATACTTATCTTCCAGCATCAACTACCATTTGTGTCACGTTTTCATGTGTATTTAGTTGAATCTACCATTTGTAGGTATATTTTCGCAACTGCAATGTACTTTATATTATTATATTTTAGAAAAAAGGACAATAAGCGTATAGGCCTATGGGGGGTGTAGATGCAGTGCAAATTATTCATTGAAAAAAGTAAAGCCCTTGTTTATACTTAAAAGTCTAACTGAATAACTAAGGGAGTGTATATATAATGAAATTTTGTTTTTAGTCCTGGGTAGTGATGGGGTTTCATCATTTGGTATCTTTAGAAATTTGAAGTAGCAAATAAATGAATAAATTAGTTAAACTTGTTTTTTTTATGTTTTTTTATTAGGCTTGTGCATAATAACCGGTGCACTATAACCAGTTATGGAACCGACCCGCATTAAATAAAAATAACCGGTTTTTTTAAATTGGTTCAGAAAATTGAACCACTTCTATTATTTAAATTAATCCAATTAAGACCCATTTCAAAACTGATTTTAAATCAGGTCGACCCAAACCAACCCGTTTACATGACACGACTCATCGACCATCGTTCCTAATCGAATCATATTTTTCTTCACTGTTCATAGCTCATCGTTCCCAATCGAACCCTAATTTCACAGTTCACCATCTAAATCATTTCTCTTCAGTCTCACTCTTCATTTCTCCTCCTCCTCTCTCCTCTTCAGCTCATGAACTCAGTTCACCATCGATTAATAATTCAAATGTTTGTGTTGTGAAAGAGGGGTTCGGTTTTTCGAGTTAGGCTAGTGAAGAGGGGTTCGGTTTTGAAAAGCGACGGTCGGAGATTGAGTTGAGGAATAGAAGGAGGCAGTGATTTTTTGAAGAAACGTTCCGTAGGTAATAATTATTTTGAGAACTTCTTCAGTTAAATCATGTTTGTTTTTATGTCTTACTCTCTTCCCCTTATTTTGTGATTTTGTTGGACTCTGTAATGTTTTAAGTTGCATGAGGGTATGTTGTTTATAATTCAGATATTCCTTAGAGTTTCTGAATCAGTTGTGGTCTGAATGTTCCTTTCTGTTGTATTCTCCTAGTTCTAATGATGTGGATTTATAAGTGGTATCTTAACCTTACACAAAGGTTGCATAAATTTTGGGGTTAGCCCAACAGTGGAAACTCGTTATTATAGCTTATCAAAGGAACAAGATGAAACTTACAATGATTGGAATCCGATTTTTTATTTTATTTTATTTTTTTTCCTTTTCATTTATCTTTATGAAACTTATATTAATATGCTGTTGCACTTGCTTGTTAGTTGGGGTTGTCCAAAAAAGTGGCAAGGGCACATGGGTAGCCATGTTAGGTAATAAATAATTTGGAGAAGTTTGACATGGTTTTCCATTACTCAAATGGAGTACTACAAAGCAAAGGATATCCTACACTTTGTCCTACATTTGAATTTTGTGCTTCTTTGTCCTACATTTGTGAGTTCTTTTTGTGTTTTTTTCTCCTACACTTATTTTGGATTATTATTTCGGGAACATCATATTCGGACTGGCTGTGGTTCTGTATCTGTCATAGTCTATGGGGATCATGACAAACCAGCTCTGATCACTTCTCCAGATTTAGCACTTAATCGTAAGTGGAGTCAATTCATTTTGCTTCCACTTGTTGTGTTAATTTGTTGTTTGATTTGATTATTGTACTTTTTTGAAATATGACAATTATTAATCCAAAATTGACTTCGTGTTTTAGAAGTTCGGTGAAAATAGTTAGTAGAATCCAGCTTCACCTGCTACATGATGTAATGTAAAACTAACTTGTTAGTTTCGTTGTTGCTTCTGCAGTTTTACTGGTTCAAGCGGTGATAGACTGATAGGATAGTTTTTGACATTTTGTAATGAACATGCTTGCTGCTGTAGTGAACCTCAGCGATTATTGGTATTGGGGCGTTTATTCATCTAACCCCCTTCCATTTTTCAGTTTCAAATATTGCCTCTACTACTTGTGCCTTCAGAGTTTCTAAGGCTTATGTTAAAATTCAGACCTATTTGAAAAAATCCTGCTTGCTTTTATTTTATACAAACTGCATTATCCTTTTTTGCCTACTTAAAGAAGCTGCCATACAAATTAATAATTATGGTATCTGTATCTCAGAATTCCTGATTTATTTTATTTTATTTTAATTATTTTGTGTGGGTCGTTTGGGTAAATGGTTATTGTTTTATTAACAGAAACGTTACTCAGTTCCAGATCTCAAATAGAGAACTTTATTTATTGTTTGGATTCTAACTTATTTTTCTGTTGTATTTCTTTACATGCTTGTTCTAGTCAGCTTCTGCCTTTGCACCAATAGCAAATCCTACAAATTGTCCTTGGGGAGAGAAGGCATTCACTTGCGATAGTTATAGTTCTGCAAATAGAGGAGGTAAATTCTCATTATTTTTGCTTTGAATTCGGAACGGAACAATTTGATGTTTGTTTTGTGTTTGTTGATGTACCTGAAACATGTATTAATCCTGATTTTAAACGAATTTCATGCATGTTATGTCAGTGAGTACTGAGCAACGAATCACTCTGAAATCTTTTATGTAATTTTAAGCATTTCTTTCATTAATTTCTGCTCTCTTGCTCATCATTCTGTTTAAGGCTTCTCTTGCTGTAATCTTCTTACTTAATAGTCTAATTTGGATTGCGTAATGTAAGTGCTTAATCTGCGCTGTTTTGGATAATAAAATTAATTAAGGTATCAAAATTGTATGGTGCTCTACACCTTGAACACCTGATCCCCATATATATTTTTTTTTCAGAGATGGTTTCCCAACAAGATGCTACCTGTTCGACCTCAGTTGCCCTTAATATTGATTGACTATTGTGTATTTTCAGTTGAATTGTGCTTCAAAAATTAGTTGTACTTTCGGTTTCTATTTTGATGATTTTGTTAAGCTACTATGGTTGGTTTTATGATTGGTTAGTACTATTGTGTATTTTCAGTTGAATTATGGCTGCAAGTGACTTAGAATCTACCCTTTTGTTTATTGATTTTATCCTAGCTACAAGATATTCTGAAAGCCTACTCCTTGATTTTAGCTTGATTGTAGCATGTGTCACTATTCTACTATTATCAGCCACTACATGAGAATTTTGGTCTCTCTGCAATGTGGGCTGTGATGACTGTGGTGGTAGTTTTGAGTACACTGTTGGTAAGTTTGTGCATATTTGTATCTGGATTTCGTGAATAAAGTTAGAAACACTTGGTGACTTCTTAGAAGGTTAGATGATTTAAGAAAAATCACGTGAATAAAGTTATATAAATTGCGTTTACCACTACATGCAGCAGAGCTTGCTCTTTGATGATAGTTTGAAGGTAACTTTGATCCAGTGCTTCCTCTTTCTTTTAAACTGTAGTTGATAGCCCTGGTTCAGAACCAGTTATAAGATTTGTGCAACCTTACCGTTTGCTGTGAAACATAGCACAATTGAACATTGCTTCTGATACTTTTACATTAACCAAAAATCCTAGTCAATATTGCATCACTTTGTTATATTTCAGTGAATAACTATTATTGTCTGCAAATTCTATTATGATATTATTTCTTGTCCGACATTTGTTGTGCGGCATTGAAAAATTTATATATGTAGTACTGATGATCTAAAGATGACTGCTGGCAATCACTACTTGAGTTTGCCTGTTAACTCAGATTGTAAAATATGACAAATCTGTGTATCCCGTGTCTTGCCTTGACTATGCTTCATTCATTTTCATATTATATGTAAAGAACTGAAAATTGTTCATATATATTTATATGCATGAATGAAATAAACTTCTTTTTTTAATTTCATACATGATTAATATTATTTTATTCCTCTATACAGGGCTTCTCAGGCAGCCAAAGTGGGGTCATCTGAAGGATTTGCACAGAGCAATAAAACTCTGTGAACCTGCTTTGGTATCTGGAGATCAAACGTTAAGCAAACACAAAAAACTATATTGATGAAGGGCTATATAAACAAGGGGGGCTATATAATCAAGTATAAGTGGGTATTGTGATCGTCCTAGTGTTAGTAGTGAGCAAATCTATACCACCGCAATTAAATGCTCTCCTTACTATCAGTATGCATCCAAATAGCCAAAAAAATGCGAAGCATCTTCCGGTTAGTGTTTCGAATGATAAATCTCCATATCCAGCTGTGGAGATAGATACCATGGTGAGATAGAAACTATCGATCACAAGAATTGGGATTATCATTCATGGCTTTAGGGATTATCATTCTCTGGATTGCTTTAGGACTAATTGGAGTGCATTATTTTGAGCACAAGAATTGGGTCGATAGTTTCTATCTCACCATGGTATCTATCTCCACAGTTGGATATGGAGATTTCTCATTCGAAACACTAACCGGAAGATGCTTCACATTTTTTTGGCTATTTGGATGCACATACTGATAGTAAGGAGAGCATTTAATTGCGGTGGTATAGATTTGCTCACTACTAACACTAGGACGATCACAATACCCACTTATACTTGATTATATAGCCCCCCTTGTTTATATAGCCCTTCATCAACATAGTTTTTTGTGTTTGCTTAACGTTTGATTCCCCTCTACTCCATCCCATTGGTGGTCAGGCAAGCTGCTATTCCTTTGGGCAGAGAGATAGTATTGACTCATCCTCTTTGGTATTTGTTCTTCAAGGTGCTTTCTGTAGGTTTCAAATGCTTGTCTCTCTTTGGTATAACTTTGTTTGGTAGCATTAAACTCCTTTGTTTTTTCTTCAACAATGGGGGGCAAAGTCATTTTCAGCATGCTACACTCTTCCTCAACCGTCCTTTGGTCTTGTTTTTTAGCCTTTGCATCGTGTATCCAAAAGAGGAAGGGTGTTTTACTGTGAAGAATTGTCTGCTCTTATTTGTTCCTTGTGTCAAACATTGAAGTGGCTGAACTACTGCTCTGTATGTACAGCTAATAAGGATATTTGTCTTCTTCAAGAGAGACAACGACCAAGAGAAATTATAGCCATCTTCATTGGACATGCCTTTCTGAATTTTCTGAAATTTCCCTTCTTATGCTTATTACTTTTTCTGAATAAAATAAAGATGCTGTCGAATGGTCACGTTATCTTTCCCTTCTTAAGCATCCTCAATTTGATGGAGTGCGTGATCTTTCCATCAGTAACCAGTTATTAGAGAAGTGTAAGCATCCTCAATTTGATGGAGTGTGTTAGGGACGTGCCTAACAAGAGAGAGAAGATCAGAAAGTAACAGAAGAGATGATATTAAAATGCAGTAAAGGTATCAGTTACACTACAATCCTATTTATACTTCTCTTAACAACTCCTGCTATCAGTATTGAAACCCACCATGACACGTCTGCAACTAATAACCACAACGTGTAACCTTCCTAATTACAATTGTAACTGACGTGGGGTCCTACCCCAATGAAATCAACCATGGGATTCTCATATTATATATTATTTGCTCATGCACATTATACTTAATTATAAGTTGTGCACATTATACATGGTTATACCCCTTAAAACAAATCTGAAGCCCTTCAAATTTTTACTATTTCCATGCTTTGATTTCTAATCGGTTGAAGTCATCAATCAAAGTCATTCAAACTGACAAGGGTGGGGGACTTTTGCTCTTCCACTCAACTCTTTAATAAACTAGGCATTGTTCATTGTGTAGCCTGCGCTCACACTTATGATCTAAATGATGTTGTGGAAATAAAAAACAGACACATAGTAGAGACAGGCCTATGCCAGGGTAAAACAAAAACAAAAACAAAAAGAGAGCAGCAAATCACATAAAGCAGAGGAGGACAATTAGAGATCAGGCCTTTGGTTATAAAGACAAAAGTCTTTAATGCTGAAGTTGCAAATAGAACTAAGCAAAAATGAGAACAGAAAAAGAGACCTAAGGATGATCATCAAAATAGAGAGTGGAAGGAGTTTCTTTGCTTGAGGGAGACAATACTGCAATATTCAGAGGCTGCATCATTTCAGACTTTAAGATCAGATACATCAGGTTTATAAAAAACAGACACATAGTAGAGACAGACTTATGCCTCTTTACCAATGAAATCTTGGGAACCAACAATGAACTTACAGCAAAAGGGGCAAAATCAGAACATACCTTTCTTCTTGTTCTTTATTGAGATGTATGTATTGAAGATGAAATGGATTCCTATACGAGCCAAAACTTCTTTTTCTTTTGAAAAAGAAAAAGAAAAATACAACACTGATGTGAACTGTATAAGTAAAAAAGTAAATCTGAACGTGGCTGTATCACAAAAGTGGCTGTATCCCGTAAATCTGAACGTGACTGTATCCCATACAACGTTTTCTTTTGGGTAAAACTGTATAAGTAAAAAAGTAAAAGTAATTTTTTTTAAATCTCGTAAATTTTAAAAGAGGTAAAAGTAAAAAGTAAAAAAGAAATTTTAAATCTCCTTTATTTTAACATAGGTAAAACAGTAAAAAATATTTTTTACCCCTATTCATCAATTAGACAATCAGATATGAGATGAAAATTTAGACAATCAGACACGATAATATTTTTTTTAGAGCAACTGCATTTTTTTTTTGTATTAAAGTTTAATTTTTTTTTGTCTTTTTTATTATTCAAGGCTTTAAGTATTTATTTTTTCTCTGATTATTTTTGTTTTTACATTTATGTTTTATATTTATGTTTTTTTTGTTAGACTTTTAATTTTCTGTTTTAACTTTTATCTACATTCTGCAAATGATTATTTTATTTATTTTTTACTGTTCAATTATTTATTTTCTCTCCATTTATTTTTGTTTTTGTACTTCTGTTTTGTTATATTAATATATTCATATTTTCTGTGGAGGTCTTTGACTCTCATAAAAGACATTTGTGACATTCACTCAGACCCCCAGTTCTGCCATCGCCACAACATAGTTTGTAGGGTCTTTGTGTACAACGTCACAATTTGTTGATATATTTTCTGGAAGTTCCAAACCTCCACAAATATTGCACTTCTTGGAAGGTATAAAGCTCCACAAATAATATGGTAAGTTGAAGTTCAAAGTTACAAAATTAAGTTGTAGTTGTGCTGAAACTTTTTAAGAACACTAACACTTATAGATATCATCCGAAAATCATGAAGAAAGAAAATGTTATGCAAATTAAATTATACTTCGAACAGTGTTTGTATTAAACCCCTCCAAAAGCATCTGAACTAAGGGAAGAAGTGAGTAAGTATAAAGCTCACAAATAGTAACATTATAACAAATAACAATTTATTATTTACATGAATATTGACTATATTTTGGAATCCAATCAACTAGACAAACCTTTACATCACTATAACAATCAACAAGACTTATCATTGTACAACCAATTTGCAGCCAAGTGAAGACTGATAATAACTATATTAACCAAATCAATCCAATTGTGCTTGTATCCAGTTAATACGTAAGGATTGCTCATGATAACAAATCTAGCACTAGCCTTTTGCTCAGCAACAATACTAATTGCAGTAATATTCTTGATCAACACATGAACCTGCGGCCTCTATAAGTCCATCGGGATGAGCTTTTACATTAGTTACTCGCTCTGCTTCCAACTGTGATTCCAGAAAACCATCTTTTGCCACATTACCTCCTCTAGTACCATGCGAAAGTTACTTGGTTTGCTCTTGTACAACCGGATCTGCCCCTGGAACCTGAAAAAAAAAGCATAAATATTTATTCATTAAATGCCCAATATTCTTACAGAAAACAACTGCAGCCAGTATCGTTTAACCACACACCTGTCCATGAATTCCAAAAATGGAAATATCATTCCCTACATCACCTAGGTCCACAGGTGAAATTCAGAATGTTTAGAAATTCTAAAATAAACCCACTTACCATGCTGAAACGGACCATACAAAGTATATCCTAAGAAGATACAGAGACTTAATTGTTATCAGGTGTGCAGTCATGATTAAGAATATGTGATGCATAGCATAATAAACAAACAATGCTGCTCCCAAAAGTTTGAGACAGGTTGACTAATTACCAATTAACCAACCGTCAATTTGATCCAAAGTTTGCAGGCATCAAGTTTTGGAACAAAAGTAAAGAATATTAAAATGATATCTTAATTTTAGAGTTAAGAAACTTTAAAATAAATGTAGAAGATAAGAAGAAGACTACCTTTTTAATCAAGAAAAGCACCCATAGCTTGACAGAGCCCCACTGTAGTTATTTTGTTTTATTTGATTGATTATTATTACCTTGGCCTTATATTTTTTTACTCTTCTGATATGAACATTGCTAAACCACGTCCTTGGCTAGCAGAGTTTTTCCAGTTCCCGGTGGTCTTGTCAAGAGAATCCCCTGGAAAAAAAAATGTTCAAGGCTCACTTGATGATAAAAAAAATCAAATCCTTAATTTCCAATGCACATTAAAAAGCATGGCATTTTATAATTAGACAAGCAAGTTCATCAGCATAGCAGCAGGCAATGAAAGCCACTAAAAAGAATCCATAATATTGTGGTGAGCCTGGTGACCAAATGCTAGCATGTTTATTCCTATAAAAACAATTTGCGTATGGAGATAGTATAAATATGATATCAGCTCATACACAGGGATGGAAACCTAATCCTCATACAAAGAATTTATAAAAAGGAGATTGATATCACACATATAATTCATGAGTAATGAATGCTCAATGCAAAAACAAACAAAACTTGACAAGGTTTTAAGCCCATGATTATTGGGAAAATGTTAAAGGTATAGGTGTCAAAACTTAATCATGGTTCTCTAAAATCTATTATGAATATCAGGAATATCTCTAATGGTTAATCTGTTTTACCATGATGTCATAAGCAGAGCACACGTCTTTCATGTAGTGATACATGCATGATTAACGTATCTGTTATTCTTGTTCAAGTTTGAAAAAAGATTTTACTTTACACTGCACTTGAAATTATCAATAAATTTTAAAATTCTTCATCAGCTAAGTATTTATAACATGTGTTGAGATATATAATCCCACATTGGTTGTATATGCAACTAATGTGAAGTTTATAAAGCCTTGGGCACTCCCACCCTTTGAGCTAGCTTTTGGGGTGGTGTATCTCAAGGTTCTTTACAAGGTATCAGAGCCTCGCCGCCCCCCACTCTCTCTTGTGGCGTTTCTTAGGACAGGTAGGCTGGGCCTGTTGCATTGTCCACTCTTCAAGCCCAATGGGCTCTTGTGTGAGGGGGCGTGTTGAGATATATAGTCCCACATTGGTTGTATGTGCAACTAATGTGGAGTTTATAAGGCCTTGGACACTCCCACCCTTTGAGCTAGCTTTTGGGGTGGTGACCTCAAGGTTCTTTACAACATGTATCATAGATTCTATATTTGACTATCATCACATGCTTCCTAACATAAAAGCAAGCCATAACAAAAATGTTATAAGATTCACAAGGAACAAGAATTAGTCTTCATAACCCAGTTGGGGTAATGATGAGTAAAGCAAAAGTCCTCATACAAAGAAATCAGAAGCCAATTCATTTAAAGGAGAAAATATAAGCAAAAGTTGTCATGTAGAAAAATTGAACAAAAAGACAAACCACGTCAGACCTTTGGCAACTTTCCTCCAAGGGGAGTAAATTTAGTTGGATTTTTTAGGTACTCCACAACTTCCTCAAGCTCTTGCTTTGCATCATCACAACCTTTCACATGCTTAAATGTTTGACATTCTGAGAGAGAGAGAGAGAGAGAGAGAGAGAGAGAGAGAGAGAGAGAGAGAGAGAGAGAGAGAGAGAGAGAGAAATTATAAAAGGCTTCTGGTATGTTGGTAATTTGGTATGATCTACAAACAAGATCTCTAATACAAATAAATAAATAATTTTTTTTGGAACGTCTCAAAAGGAAACAAAAGAATAAAGAAGAACACCAGACTAACTCCTCAAGAATCTAATACCCATAGAGTCCAAATAAAACTCCCGTAGTAGGGAACAGACTTTAAATGACCCAATTCATAGAATTAAATATACTTCAGAACTTGTTCAAAGGTCAATGAAATAACATGTTATGAATAATTGATAAGCGAGGACTGTTTTATTTGGATTAAAAAAAAGATTGTGCGTGTATTGCATTATTCATTAACCAATTGAACTTACAACGTTCTCATCCAAACTTTTAAGCGACTGCCCAAATTTGTAGCTGATTAATTGTTATTTGCTAAGCAACAAATCATCTAATTTTCAAGAAACAAAGAATTGACTATTTTGGCATATTATATGAATATGATTCATGTTAGTCAGAATACATCTTAAAAAGTCAACCGTTTTTGGCTTCACTTCCTTATTTAGTTCCTTGGGGACATAGGAAGCTATGAAGAACCGATACTCCTTAATTTTTTTTTTCAACGCGTATCGGACACGTATCCTTTGGTAATTGACATCCTGTATCATCGAGAACGTATCTTTTTCAAACGCGTATCGGTGCTTCATAGATAGGAAGTACTTGAGCCAATACCTGAAGTTCCAATCCCACCAAGCTTCCTATGTATTT